TTACGCAGTGGACAGATGGGACCAGAATGTGACCTCCTCATATATAGGCAGTGGACAGCTTCCGATAAGTAATGAGCCGGTACAACAATCTAACAATGTGTCGGTGGATGTATGAAAAGCGACGTGTCAGGTTGATGGCAAAACTTGTCAGAAACCTGGCAGATGGGGCCGATACCTGGCAGATTGCACTGGCAAGAGGATGTGCCGGAAACGAGCAAAACCTGGGACTTGCTTTAAGTTTGAACCGATTGCGGGTGACTTTGTTGACGGTGATATGCATGAGTGCACAGCCGCATCTTCTCTTTATTATCCCGTAGCACCAGCATCGCGCGCTCCCCCCCCACCAGGGCGCCCCTCTTAATCACCGACGGTGTCCCGGTGTACAGCACCCCGCGAGAGCATGTCGCATGAATTCAGGTGCAAGTCAGCAGCTGCCGTCCACATGCCTGATGTGCGATGTGTCAGGTTTGAGTATCATTAGTCTGACAGGTTCAACGGGATTTGACAGGTTTAAATATATCTGAGATTTTGCTGTCTATCTAACACGTCGCTTTTTGTCTATCCCGAATGTGCCGTGGTCGTGAATTCTGCTTGAGCGGCAGAAAGATGGAAAGAGAAAACAGTGGTGGTTGAAAGAATGTGTTAACGATGATGCGCGCGCTGCCATCGTCTTCTGTATGCTCCCGAGAATCCTTCCTCTCAAGCACCTTACGCTCGTATGCCAATCTGCGGATAAATGCTGGCTAAGTTCCGTCTCTTGTCAGCAATCGACACCGTAAAAGCGGCTGCCGATCATTGACGTTGATGAAGGGTGTCAGGTATCCAACGGCGGGTAAGATGGATACGAATTTGATGGTGGGATATCAAGACTAGACCTAGTATCGTAGTTTAGATATGTACCATCGTGATGTAAGCTGATGATAAAGCTTAGATGAATGGCAGCCCGGCTTAGGTCATGCATATCGCTATAGTAAGTGAAGGTTCGCTGAAGTAAATTGCAAGGTAGAAGATTCTGTTTGTACATGAGGGCGAGCCTGTATATACGATGAGCTACGTAATGAGTCGTCATCTTAAATGGGAGGGTACACTATTCGTGAGGTTGTGAGCTTGATGGTTTTCGTGGGCTTGATTGCCGTCACTCGTGAGCTTGATGCTACTGTTCGTGAGGTTGCTTTAGTGTCAGAACAGATCGGTGCTCAAGGATGAGTCCAAAAACACGATCACTTGCAGAGGGGAAGGCCAGGCAAAATGTATTTTTGCAACTCCAGTGCAGAAGAAAACAATGTAACAAAATTAAAAAAGAAATAAGACGAGTGACGGCCCGGTCACCTCAAATCAGACTGTATACGGGGCGCTCCTCTTGAACATAGCCCGTTCTACGGGCCGGTAGCGGACCATGATTCATTTGTCGGAATATCTACCGAAGCAACGGCTCGCTCTTGCGTGTGTTATGTTTCACGTTAAGGGTCACCGCCACAAAGGTAGACACGGATTATGCCGTGCGGAAGCTGTTGATTTAAAAACTCACCTTTAAATAGCTGATTTCAGGAAGCTCAACGGTGTTGCATGTTCGCTCGGTCACATTTCGGATGGTCCTGTGTCTGCCAGCCTGAGTGAGGAAGGCCGAGAGACTCCCACTACCCCTTTAGGGGTGTTGGTCTAGCCTGAGGGCTCAGGGCTGCCCCTCTTTTTTATCGTCTGCTCCTCGTTCTTGCCCCTATTACTGCCGCTTCCACTTGCCATGCTCTTGCACACCGGCAATCTCCATCAACGGCCGACCATTGATACCCGCCACTCTTATTATGAAAAATAACCTCTCGACAGCGCCGGGCATTGATGACTTCTCGTATGGGGATATAATGGAAATCCCAAATAAGAAATTACTCGCTTTACTCCAGGCTATCGTCGACAAAAAGGTTTTCCCCTCAAAGTGGCTGGCAGCACTGGTTGCCGGAATACTCAAGGCAAGGAAGGACCCAAATAAGTCAGAGAGCTATCGCCTAGCGGTGTTAGAGTGCTGTCTGTTGAAATTTCTAACTCTACTTATTGATCGGAGGGTGAATGAGTATGCCACCGAAGCAAAGCTGATCCCTGAAACTCAAAATGGGTTTACGGCAACATACCGCACCAATAACAACCCATTTCTCCTGCGAGTTATGTCTGATAGGGCAGCAGTAGAAGGAAAAGTTATGTATGTTGCAATGGTGGATTTAAAGAATGCTTTCCCAGCTGTTAATCGTAATGTCTTGTTCCTGACTCTCGACTCAATGGGAGTGGCTGGTGACATGATATGCTTCTGTACGACAAGCTAGAGTACATGGTTCGAGTGACTCGGAGCAAAGAACTCTCAGCTAGTTTTTTCTCCTTCCTGGTAGTATTGACAGGAGATTCGGGATCACCAGAGTTTTGGAATTACTTCTTGCTAGTTTCAAGTTATACCCGCTACCAGGGGATATAACCATTAATGGCAGGCCAATTTCTAAATAGAGCATGCAGATGATCTTATGATTCTGTCCACCTCGGGTCTGGATTCCAGGCCAGATTGAATGCCACTGGCAGTCATATGGGAGATGTCGGGTGTGAAATTCAGACAATGAAATGTTCATGGGGAGCAATGGGAATTAAACCAAACACTCCACAAGTTCTTTTTTCTGGATGGAAAGCTGCGGAAAGAGGCATCAACGTTCCAGTATGTTGGAGTTTGGCAGCTCGGTGCCAAGAGGCGGTACAGAATCACTATCTCCATCGGATGTTGGGCCTCACGGAGTGAAGCATAGTAGCTGTGCTGTTCTCAGAAACTGTGTTATAGATTTGAGTCGTTGTTCGTAGTTCACTAGAACCCGCCGTGTAAATTTCCTTTGTAGCGCGAGAATCGACCGAAGCCGAGTAGCCGTGGGCTGACTGGATTCGGTAGATTCGAAGGTGACCTAAATAGGAGGTAAGTGAGAGAAATCTTAGTCAAGAGCGAGGCGATTAAGCAGTCGCAGAGTGCACATTGCTAGTACCTGCAGCTTATATACACTGTGTAACTATGGGAACGTGCAATAATAAGTATTTGAAATAGCAAAGAGAATGGTAGCTGGCCTCGGCGAGGCACGAGCGAAGGTCAGCGAGAGATAAAGTAGCGAACCAGGTGCGCGACGATCACGCACTGAGCATTCTGACATCAGCAGGTCACGCGAAGCTCAGGCTTGATCCCGACCACCATCGTCGCGGTCAGCCAGACCTTTTCGCGCGTCTTTTCGCGTGCTACGCCGTCGCTTCGCCGCCAAGAGTTCTCCCGACTACGCCAACTCTGTCATCCACCCGCTGAAGCTCACACAAACAACGTCAAAATCGGCACGGCGCTTCTTGCTTTCTTCATTCTTTTCTGCGGCGCCTGGGCTCTTTCTTCTCCGCATCCCTACCTCATTTACTCTTGTCTACACGTGCTACACGCTGCGCGACCGCCAAAAACGCGCCACAAGTAACTCTGTCGACGCTCGGCACTGCCAGTCCCAATCCGTCTCTTCACGGCACGTGCGTCTTCATTTACCGTGTTTCGAGCGGTTTTCTATTGCATCCCTTCATCCTTCCTTCCATCCACACATCCCGTTCCCTCTGTCCATTGCTGCCCCGAATTCGTCGCAGCGCTCTGCTTGGGGGGTCCGTCGCGTAAGCGTTCGCCGGCCGCGCTATCGCTTTGTCGCGCTGCTCCTTTTGGGGTGTCCGGCTGCTCGCTTCGGCGTCGGTCATCTTCCCCGGTCTCGCGTCGCACTGGTCCGCGGCCGCATTTGTTTGGCGTCTTCCATCCCGGAGCCGCCTTAGTTGCCCTCTTTAAGCGCTCTTTAAGTTGGGACCCGGAGCTGCCTTTGTTGCGCTCTTGGGATTTGGAGCGCCTCGATGCGGCCTGCGGCTGCGCCCCGCAAACCCCTCCGGGCATTATGCGTCGAATTTTTCACTCCCCCACCCTCTTCGCGAGGTCATGTTGATATTATTGATACTACGCGTTTGGCGCGGTCGGGATTACTTCTCCGAGCGCGTAGCGCGACCTTTATCTACTTACTACTTGATTGATAGATACACTTACGATCGTAGCGCACAAGGAGCTACTTTATCCTGCCACAGGCACTTGTTTCATGTCCACGGAAATTAGGTATTTGAAATGTAACCATGTAAGAAGTGTAAGAAACCAGCAGATGGTTGGACACGTGTACATGTACACACGCTTGTCGAGTGACAACAATTCTATATCATATCGGCGAGCTATACTGTTGCTCCGTAACTTGGGCTACCTTGCAGGCCTTGTAGAAGAGCGGCTTGTAAAAAACGGGCTTATCGACTTTTTAGACCGCGCGCGCTACGCTCACGCATCTTACGGTCCTCGCGCAGGAGGCCGCGCAGGCGGCGTTCCTCGTGCTCGCTGCCGCTCTCCGCGCTCGCGCACCTCGGAGGGGGGACTCCCGGCACTCGCCGCGCCGCCTCGCGTGCGTATCGTGCGGATGCGGATATGCGGAGGGACGGCGGAGCCTCAGGGTAAGGCTCCAACCATTTAGTTTTTGTTTAGCTGGGCCCGTAAACTAAATGTAAATGGTATGTAAACAGTTTATAAACCGTTTAAAATGGTTTATAAACAGTAATTTGGAGCGCAAAAACAAAGATCACAAAAAACATCGTAACTAGCCTCAACCGCAATCCAAGGTTGCCTCCTTCAACTCGCCTTCTGTTATTCACATCTTTAGGAGCATCGCCTCCGTAATTGTACCGGGTCTCATCGAGGCCCGGGTCTCCTGGCGAGGTGCCGCACGCACTAGGGGCACATTTTGTCGCAAAATCGCAAAATGCTTTGCCCATAATTGTAAATGCGTATAAGCCTCTAAAAGTTCAAAAGGTTGGGGGGTACATCATAAGTCTAAGGAGAGACTCTAAGCAGCTTATAAGGACAGTAAGGCTTGCTTAAATTGATGCCAGCCGTCGGCACTCCGTCCTGCATATTTGTGGGGGTGATATCAGTTGCTGGGAGCAGCATGGCGCAGATGGAAGCGCGCGGGGCCCATATCATAAGACACATTGGCTGTCACCCCGAGGTCACTCGATCGAAACGAGTTGCTGCTATTTCTTTTTCTCTCATTTATAGTTGCAGTGGTGGTTATCGATCTTGCCATCGCCGAAGAGCGAGACAAATGGTCAGCTTGTAATCAGGCGGTTCGGGAGAATTAGCTCGTGCCGACGCGCGGTAAATCAAGTGAAAATTGAACCATTTAAACCGTTTTAAATCATTATGTTTACTGTTTACTAACCTCCCTAAATTAAATCTAAATAAAAACGGTTTTAACCGTTTATGTAGAATAGTTTATATACGGAAATAGTTGGAGCCTTAGGCGGAGGCGTATGTGCGCACCATTGCACGCGCTGAGGGGGGAGGGAGACTGAGTTTGCCGCGCTGGGGCGAGTAGAGCTCGAGGTCGACGTATTGGGGGAGCGGCGGCTGGTGCGCTGCGTTGAGGTAGACGTGTGCAGAACAGGTCATTGGATATTATAAAGTGCATGTTCGCATATACAATCACTAATCATTCCTGCGCTACCCCGGTCGCACTGAAGAGACGTCCTGCACATGCGGCAGCGCCGCCCGCGCTTCCTCCAGCAATCTCCCCGTTTCCGCGTCCTCCGGCACGGCCAGCGGCCCGTCGAGATTGCTGACGAACAGCAGGAGCTTGAAGCTTTGAAGCGCAGGCAGCTGCGCGACCCACGCGAACGCCTCGCGCCCCATCACGCTGGAGGGGATCGTGAGCCTGACGGCGCGCACGCAGTGCAGCGCGCGAGCGGCACGCTGCGCCTCGGGGCTGGTGCTCCAGCACGCCACCGCGTCGGTCACCCGGTTGGACGCAAAGAGATGGATGTCGAGGGTGAGGTCGTTCGTGCACGGCGCGAGGGCGTGCAGGTCGCGCACAAGCCCCGCGAGATCCGCCGGCACGAGGTGGTGCGCGAACACGAAGAACACCTTGCGGAGGTGCGGCGCCTCGGCGAGCCCGGGGACGAGGCGGCCGAGGATCCCGCCGCCGAACGCCTTGAGCCCAGGATGCGCGAGCGGCGGCGCGACGACCGCGCCCGTGACGTCGCTCCCGTCGTCGGTTTGGAAGCCCTCGAAGTCGAGCTCCTGCACGTGCGGGTGGTGCGCAAGGAAGACGTGCAGCGCGGCGGGCGCGATTGTGTCTGTCACGAGGAAGACGCGGCGCAGGCACGGTAGCGCGATGTGTGCGATGAGCGCGCCCCAGTGCTGCGCGAGGAGCGTCGGCAGGAGGCCTGCCATGGAGTCGCCCAGCCGCAGGATCGTGAGCAACCGCGGGTCGAAGGTGATTATAGAAAACGACGAAATGGGGCTCGTGGCGTCCCTGATCGACTGCACGCTCGCGGAGTGGCACGTGGTGAGCGCGTACACGTCCCTATTCCCGCCGGTATGGAGGCGTATGGTGGTGCGCGGGCCCCAGAACCCCTTCGGCTTCACCGCGAGGCCAATTGCGCGCTGCGCGCGTGTCGCGAGGGCGCGCAGCCCCCACCCCGCGTTGAACTCGAACAGATCGAGCTTCCACCGGGCGACGTCCTGCGGCATGCAGCTGAACACCGCGGAGGTCGTGACGACGAAGACGGGGCCGGACACGCGCTGCACCATCGCGGACAGCGTCGCGCAGAACGTGGCCATCAGCGCGCTGTGCGATGCGTCGTCGCCGGCGACCTTGAAGAGGTCGTGACGAAAGAGGAAACTCAGCTCCCGCAGGTGTGGAGATTGGGATACGATGTTCTGGAGCATCTTGAGATCGCGACGCAGCTGCGGAGGTGCGAGATCACAGAGCAGTTGCTCCAGCGGAAATGTGCGGAATGAAAGGGAGAGCAGAGGGAGTATGTGGGATGAGACTAGGAGCTTGCTGCAAACGAATACATTTTCGTCGAAGCCGTTTCGCCGCAGTAAGTTGCGGTCTTACATGCCCTGGCCAGCCGGAAGAGATCGTCGTCATCGGCGACTTCCTGCAAGATCCGGTCCCAGAGCTTGGTGGGAAGGAGATGATGAGGAGTTAAATTCCCTCTGGCGACAACTCTGGACTCGGTGAACAGAGAAAACATCGAGGGGCAGGCGGTCAAGTACAAGGTGTCGCCAGTGTCAGGATTGGGAACAAATTGGGAAAGATCTACAACTGTTTGTCGAGTATTCGAATGGGCTGCAGGGGATACAAGCGCTGAAAGATAATTGTGACAAAACACCGTATTCTGCAGAAGCCGATGTCAGCCTCGGTGAAAAGTTTGTGAAAAGTGCATCCCAGCGAAAGGAACGGACTCCGCTGAGCGAGTGGCAGACCGACGAATCACGGTGAGAAACAATCAAGACTTACACCCGGCGCAGTATAAGGTTTGGATTCCGCCAGACGAAGTGGTGAGATGAAGAACGAATGGCGCCACGTGTCTTGTCAGAGGCGATGACGACCGCAACAGTCACGTTTTCCGGTTTCGGGTAAGTCATCTGAATGGCCCCTTAGTTCTTATTACTACGTGCACGCTCGACGTTTACATGTAGCCTAACGATACAAACAGTACAGCTGGATCTGTCAAACTGCTGCCCCACTTATGCAGAGCCGTTCTGAGTCAAGTTCAAGTTGAACGCAACCCCTTCCTTGCGCTCGAGCAGCACGAACTCCGAAGTCCCGCCGTACCACCCAGCGCGCTGACTGCCGAGGATACGCGCCGTGTCCGCCGCCTGCTCATGGTCGATGAGCACCGTCGTCCCGCCGTGCGCCGCCGCCGCCGCGTCCGCCATAAGCTGCGCCTGGCACGCGCGCTCGAGCGCGATGTAGAACTTGACCGTCGCCTCGATCGAGGACGACGCGACGAGCAGGCCGTGGTTCTGCAGGATCGCAGCTTTCTTGTTGCCGAGCGCCGCGGCGATGGCGTTGCCCTCGACCTCGTCGAGGACGATGCCGTTGAACTGCCTATACAAGACGTGGTCCTGCGGAGGGAGTCTCTTTATTTGGATTGGGCTGCACGGGCTGTTGCTGGTACCATGATTACGATGCCTGACTTGTTTACTTAGTATGCTTATCCCCCCCCTCTCTCACATGGTTTGTTTCAGTATGAATAGCTGAGATGGCTGTGATTGAGAATACAGTGACACTTGACAGTGATATAATGGGGTAGTACTTGAATATGGAGATATGCGTAGGAATACTTACACGCTATTTGTTTTCGCAAAATTATCTCAGTGCGTGCGAGAAGTGATTCTAAGAGGGGTAGCACCTGTAAGGTGAAAGAAAGGGCCGAATAGGTACACTAAATTTGAAAATTTCACTCCCAATTTTTGCGTTTTATTTTTCCCACGCTATGACAAGCCCATTTTTTTTGAAACGAAAATTTGACCTACAAACTACACCTAGTTTCGTGCCTAATCCTAAATCTAGAGGGCCCTGGGTCAAAATTGCGGCTTGTCATGAAGTCTTGGCTGCAATTATACCCGTGTTCCGGTAGGCACGTGATGCCAGGACCTCGGGACGGACAACGGCGGGCGCGGGACAGCGGGGCGGCGGCGGCGGCGGCGGCGCTGACAACGGTGTTGATGCGGGCATCAACTGACACCAGCCGACGCCGTTGGCAAGAACTGCTGCTAATAATATCTCAGTTAAGGTGTATTTATCGCGCCCACCCGCTTAAAGTCTAACCGGCACTAGTTAGTGGGGGCATGGGCTATATAGGTGTTCCTAATCAGTGACAGACGAAAGAATGCTAGGGGCGGTTGGATGATGGTGGCTTTGACTCCGAAAGGTAATTGATTAGAATCATTAGATGGACGCCTCCCTTTTGAGTGGGCTTTGAGCGCGCGACATATGGAGCGGCACGCAAGAAGCGGAACAGGGCGGAGCTAAATTGCGATTTGAGTGGTCGTCCAGAAATAAACATGGGAAAAACACCAACCAAAATAGGTGGAAACGCTGAAGGAGGCTTGCGGTTGAGAAAGAAATGGCAAATCGAGGTGATGGCAAAACCTGCGCATACTGATACTACGAGGCATCTGCTTACATGAGGTATGATGGTCGAGAGTGCTGTACGAGGATCAGAGCCTTTTCTTGCGCTCTACGATCACCCTTGTGTATGTAAACCTCTGTTTAAACTCGACTAAACGTTGATCTTTTTCCTAAACTGGTGCAGCCTGGAAATAAACCGCGAGAAAGGAATAGCGCATGTGGTGAAAGGGACTCCGGAGCTATGTGAAAACGTGCTTGAGAAAAAGACGCCCAATCAAGGGGACCGCAAACAGGTGCATACCGATTCGAGGTGTAAGATTACGAGTTATATATAGCCTATAATACGATCTTCCTCCTCTTGACACTCCTGACCCTGACCGGCTGACCCTGCTTCTGACACAGAAACGACTGGAAATGAATTGGAGATACCTGGAAGTATCCCCGACCTGAGAACCAACAGAGACATATAGCTGGGAGGCAGCTATATAAGCATCTATCGCAGACCTCGAGACCAGCGCGCAATCTCAGCCTCCAACCGCCCTCACTACTTACAATGCTGTCCAATTCCCGTGTTCAGCGGCCTGTGAGTGTGCTTGCTCCTTTGGTTATGTGCGCTCGCGCTCACCCAGCTCTCTTAGCTCGTGAGTTTGATTGTCCTCTCGCTCATCGTGAGGCCATGCCTCGGCCAGCAGCCGCTCAACGTCACCTGCAATACCGCTGGCCTCGCACAAGATTGCTCCGGCTTTGTCACGACATTCTGCAGCTCCATTGGAACTGATCTCGTATGCACCCACGGTCCCAAAACCATGCGCATCTGACCTATCTCCCCAACCACGCAGATCGCGCAGGAAGACACGGTCTCGCGTTGCTTCACCACGTCCAGTGCCACCAAATGTGTGTAATTTAACCCACATGATATAAGCCTTCTCTGACTCCGCGCCCGTGCTGCAGGCGACCTCGCCGTGTGGAACACGCTCACGGGCAGCAACACTCCAAGCGTGCAGAACTGTGAAACTGCACTCGCGAGGGTGGCCGCCATCTGCGCCATGGTAAGCACCGCGCCGGGCTGGCGTTGTTGCAAATTGCCAAATTGTACCCGTGACTCACCTC